TGCCACCAGGCCCCCTGAGGAGCTGACCTTGAGCCCCAAGCTGCAGCTGGATGGCAGTTTGACAATGAGCAGCAGTAGCAGCCTGCAGGCAAGCCCACGCAGCCTCCTGCCCGGCCTGTTACCAGGTCCAGCTGACAAATTGACTCCCAAAGGGCCTGGGCAGGTATGTGTGTGCTCATGTGTAAAGTGCAGGGTAGCATGTGTATAGCAGTGGGAAGATTGGCGGCAGTCTCCTCTCACAGCACCCTGTCTGCTTGTCCTGTTCTGCCTCAGGTGGTCCATATTTCCCCTGAGGTCATCTCAGCCTCCTGTGTGCCCTGAAGGGCAGCTCCTGAGCTTCTCCATCCCCACTTCCTCTCTTGAGTTATGGCTGTTTTTGACTGCTTTCCCCATCCCCTAATCCCATCTCTCATCACTACAAATTCCAGTGCCTCATCTCTGAATCCCCCCCATCCCTAATTTCCACCACCTAAGTCCCCATTTTTGGCTCACCTCAGGTGCCTACTGCTGCCTCTGGACTGTCCCTGGAGCTGCAGGAAGTGGAGCCCCTGGGGCTACCCCAGGCTTCCCCTAGCCGTACTCGCTCCCCTGATGTTATTTCCTCAGCTTCCACTGCCCTGTCCCAGGATATCCCTGAGATCGCGTCTGAGGCCCTGTCCCGTGGCTTTGGCTCCTCTGCTCCTGAGGGCCTTGAACCGGACAGTATGGCCTCAGCTGCTTCAGCACTACACTTGCTGTCCCCACGGCCACGGCCCGAGCTTGGGCCCCAGCTTAGCCTGGATGGAGGCCCTGGGGATGGGGATCGGCATAGTACCCCTTCCCTCCTGGAGGCAGCCTTGACCCAAGAGGCTACAGCCTCTGACAGTCAGGTCTGGCCAACAGCACCAGACATTACTCGGGAGACCTGCAGCAGCCTGGCAGAAAGGTGAGGAGCTTGGGAGGGGGAAAGTATACTGATGGTAGGAGCTTCAGATAGAGTCACCCACTGCTGAGACAGGCTGTCCCCCCAGCCCTAGGAATGGCCTTCAGGAAAAGCACAAGAGCTTGGCCTTCCACCGACCGCCTTATCATCTGCTGCAGCAACATGACAGCCAGGATGCCAGTGCTGAACAAAGGTGGGTGTCACCCACACCCTTCCTTTCTTGAGGGAGGGTCAGCAAGTGTTAGGTGCTTATCCCTCCCCTGCCTCTTTCCACAGTGACCATGATGATGAGGTGGCCAGCATTGCCTCTGCTGCAGCGGGCTTTGGCACCAAAGTTTCCACTCCACGGCTTCCTGCCAAGGACTGGAAGACCAAGGGATCTCCTCGGGCCTCACCTAAGCTCAAGAGGAAGGGCAAAAAGGATGATGGGTAGGAGGGGTCCTGGGGCCAGGGAGAGGGGTGGTCCCCAGGCTGTCTAGGCCTGAGGTGCTTCTCGCCTGTGGCAGGGATTCGACTGCGGGATCCCGGCTCATGGAGCACCAGGTGAGTTGAGAAAACACTCTTTATACTTCTAGGACTCTTTCTTGAGAGTGGGGAAGGGTTCTGGGCCATTCCCTGGTCTGGCGTGTGGTACGGGTGGGGCAGGCATTATGTGACTGTTGGCACTACTGGCAGGTGACAGAGCCCCCTGAGGATTGGCCTGCAATAATTTGGCAACAGCAGAGAGAGCTGGCAGAGCTGCGGCACAGCCAAAAAGAGCTACTGCAGCGTCTGTGCACCCAGCTCGAAGGCCTGCAGAGTACCGTCACAGGCCATGTAGAACGTGCCCTCGAGTCCCGGCATGAACAGGAGCGTATCCTTGTGGATAGTGGCCCAGCATGGAAGAGGGTAGGGGCAGCCACAGTGTTCTTGAACCAGGAAGGGCTAGAGGACCTACTCCAGGCTTGTTCCTTAGCTACAATGCAGAGCGGCGGTTGGAGCGGGCACTGGCAGAAGGGCAGCAGCGGGGTGGGCAGCTACAAGAGCAGCTGACGCAACAGCTGTCACAGGCACTGTCTTCAGCTGTGGCTGGGAGGCTGGAACGCAGCATACGGGATGAGATCAAGAAGACAGTGCCTCCATGTAAGTGTTGCATAGAGACTTCTAGGTGGGCTGGGTGGGAGTGGGGCCCCCTACCTGTCAAGCTTCCTCTCATGGCTCCACTTTTCCTTCTTTACCCTGCCCCAGGTGTCTCTAGGAGTCTGGAACCCGTGGCAGGCCAACTGAGCAACTCAGTGGCCACCAAACTCACAGCTGTGGAGGGTAGCATGAAAGAGAATATCTCCAAGCTGCTGAAGTCCAAGGTGTTACAGGGCCCAAGATGAGGGAGGTTGGTGCTTGGTGGCCCTGGTCAGGCCAGCTTGGCCTCAGGCTTTCAACTCAGCCCAGCCCTTTCCTCTACCCCTAGAACTTAACAGACGCTATTGCCCGAGCAGCTGCAGACACGTTACAAGGGCCAATGCAGGCTGCCTACCGTGAAGCCTTCCAGAGTGTGGTGCTGCCTGCCTTCGAGAAGAGCTGCCAGGCCATGTTCCAACAGATCAATGATAGCTTCCGACTGGGCACACAGGAATGTGAGTAGAATCATATGCTCCAGCGTAGGAAGGACTGTTCCCTTCTCCCCCACCATCTCTCTCACTGCCCTCACGGTCGCCTCTTAGACTTGCAGCAGCTAGAGAGCCACATGAAGAGCCGGAAGGCACGAGAACAGGAGGCGCGGGAGCCTGTGTTGGCCCAGCTGCGGAGCCTGGTCAGCACACTGCAGGGTGCCACTGAGCAGATGGCAGCCACTGTGTCTAACAGTGTTCGGGCTGAGGTGCAACACCAGCTGCATGTGGCTGTGGGCAGGTGTGTGGGCAGGGCACTGGGAAAGGTGGTGGGTTTGGAAAGGGCCAAACCAGATTCCCTGTCTACTTCATTTCCCTCACTTTCCTTTGCAGCCTGCAGGAGTCAATTTTAGCACAGGTACAGCGCATTGTTAAGGGTGAGGTGAGTGTGGCACTCAAGGAGCAGCAGGCCTCCGTCACCTCTAGCATCATGCAAGCCATGCGCTCAGCTGCAGGCACACCTGTCCCAGCTGCCCACCTCGACTGCCAGGCCCAGCAAGCCCATATCCTGCAGCTGCTGCAGCAGGGCCACCTCAATCAGGCCTTCCAGCAGGTACGCCAGGCATTAAGCCCAATTAAAGGTCGGGTGTCTCCTGACAAAGCCCACACACTATACATTCCACTCTGCTCATCAGGCTCTGGGTGGTCTGGCCCCAGTGGACTGTTCTTGATTTTCTTTGGCCTCTAGGCTCTTTCCCCTGCTTTTCTCTTTATCTAGATCTTGGATCCCTTTCTTTCTGCCTCAACCTACCTTGCTTCATGACCACCCTTCTCAGGAAACATTTCCTGATACCCTAGATTAACAACACAGCTCTACTGTGTTCTCTCTGGGCCCTTGAGCATCCCCCTCTGGACCTCTCAGTATCCCAGTCTGTGGTCATCCTCTGGTCATCCTCTGTCAGGCCACACCGTCAGACAAGCAGGCATTCTACCCTGACAGCTATAAACACGATTCTCTACCCAGGCCCTCACGGCTGCTGACCTGAACCTGGTGCTGTATGTGTGTGAAACTGTGGACCCAGGCCAGGTTTTTGGGCAGCCACCCTGCCCACTCTCCCAGCCCGTGCTCCTTTCCTTCATCCAGCAGCTGGCCTCTGACCTTGGCACTCGAACTGACCTCAAGCTCAGGTGAGTGGGCACCGTCAGACCAGGAGATGGGCTGGGGTAGAGACAGAGGAGCAATTCAAAGCAAGGACTCCCTCTACAACCTGATTCCTCTCCCTAATTTTCTCTACCAGTTCCCTTTGCCCCGACTCATTTTAGGCTTGGAGGCCTCCCTTGTCAGCAGTCCCTTTGGGCCTCATTGCCACCAGGGGGCGCTACCGTATCCTGGAGCCCACCTGTAGCCTTTCTGTTTTCTTCACTCACAGCTACCTGGAAGAGGCTGTGATGCACCTGGACCACAGTGACCCCATCACTCGGGACCACATGGGTTCCGTCATGGCCCAGGTGCGCCAGAAGTTATTCCAGTTCCTGCAGGCTGAGCCATACAACTCACTTGGCAAAGCGGCCCGGCGTCTTAGCCTCATGTTGCATGGCCTTGTGACCCCCACCCTCCCTTAGCAAAGCCTGCCTTGCCCAGGGGTGCAGTGGCATTGAAGACCAGCAGACAGGCCTAGACCAAAGCAGGGTCATGTCTGCCCTTTATCTGCTCAGGCTCCCACCTCTGGGGTAGTTGAGAGGGGGAACACTGGCTGTAGTCTACAGGTTATGGTAGCCAGCAGGTTTAGGCTGAGCCCAGGGTGGGTATTGTGCCTTCTTGGGTTCTGCCATGCCTGGAGCATGACCCCCTGAGATTGTGATACCACTTGAGTTGAATTTTCCATGTTCCTTTTTACCTCTGTTTTGGATCTTTCTGTTTTTGAAAAACATTGAGAAATTCAATTAAATGCTTTTGGAATAAAATGGAGTATGCGTTTGTTTTTGGTGTGTCTTTGGTGTGTCTTTGATAACTGCCCTCTCTTCTCTGGCCCCTCTCTTCTCCCTGTGTGGAACTCTGTGGAGGCCGACCCATCCCAGGGGTTTGGACACCTACCCTCATCTGCTCAACTGCTTTCTCAAATCTCCCCTCTCTCCATCTCGAGTGAGGACCTTGTGCCCCTCCCTGGGCTTTCCTTTGCCAACCTGCATTTTGGAGGCGTGGTCGGCTGCTGGCTTTGAAGCCCCGCCCCGCCCCACCCACCTCCCGGCCAATCACAGTCCCTTCTTCCGGGGGCTGGGCCGAAGGGCTGCGCTCAAAGCTGCCAGCTCTGACACTAGACTCCCAGCCGGGGATGATGCTCTGCTCCTGCTGCCGCTGCCGCTGTCGCCACCACCAGCAACCACCCCGCGCTCTGGGGCTGTTGCTGCTGCTGCTGCTGTTACCACCACTCGGTGAGTGCTGGCATACTGGTCCGATCTGGGCTGCACATTCTCACCAGGCTAGGTTTAGGATGTGTGGGAGCTGGGGCACAGCCTTCCTGAGTGCTGGGAGCCAGGATGGTGTGGAGGTGCTAGAGCTCCAGGGAGAGGATAATGTGTACCAGTGACTTCAGTACTGAAAGTGGTGGGCATTTAACTGAGTTGTGGGGGAAGGATCCCAAAATTTTGCAGCCCCCATTCTAATAAAGGGAGATGTGAACTGTGACAATTCCAAGACTAGCTTTAGGATCCTTGAGTTCTTCTGTTAGAGTCTGGCCTGGATCCTGACCTCCTCTATTGTGCCCTATCTGTCCGAAAATCCCTGTCTTTGGGGATGGGCTGGAAGGGTCAAGCAAAACTTGTCTAGGCAGCAAAGAGAATGTGTGGTGCTGGGGAAGGGCTGTGTGGCCCTGGAACCTGCCCCCTTCACGACGTCCTGACACATTCACTTGGACCATCTTCACCGGACCTTAGGCTACAGAAGCCCCAGAAGCTCAGAGGAAGAACCGACTCCTGGGACATGAGGACAGATACCTTGCCTATCCTGCCCTCCTCCTCCCCAGCACATATCCTTTTGGGTCCCACCTAGATAGGAGCCAAGGCAAGAGGTCCCCAGATGTGCCCCTTATTTCCCTGGGGCACCCCTTTCACGCTGAGTCATGTCCCCAGAGCACGCCATGGTAAATGAGCCCCTGGGGGTTGGGGGTAGCCGGCTCATTCTATCTACCATTTTCCATCCCCACTCCTAGTCCTTGTATCTCCCCTGGTGGCAGCTGCCGAGGGCCCAGGCCCCTGTGACACCATATACCAGGGCTTCGCAGAGTGTCTCATCCGCTTGGGGGACAGCATGGGCCGTGGAGGCGAGCTAGAGACCATCTGCAGGTAAGGGCAGGTATGAGTTCAGCGGCCCAATCCCCACCACCCTCTCTGACTGACCTCTTCCTTCCCATTCCAAAGCCTCCTTGCCCCACCTAATTCCCCTAATCCCTCTCCCATAACAGGTCTTGGAATGAATTCCACACCTGCGCCTCACAAGTCTTGTTGGGATGCCCAGAAGAGGCGGCTGCTGTGTGGGAGTCACTACAGCAAGAAGCTCGCCGGGCCCCACACCCGGATAACTTGCACACTCTGTGTGGCGCCCCTGTGCATGTCCGGGAGCGTGGTTCTGGCCTGGAGACCAACCAGGAGACACTACGGGGGACAGCACTTGCCCCTACCCCGGCCCCCGCACCCCGGCTGCTGGCGGTTGCTTTGGCACTCTGTTGCCTCCTGGGGCCTCTGGCCTAGCCGTTGGGGTCAGGTAGCAGCACCCTTGTTGCCACCCTTTCTCTGGTGGCTGCTCTCGAGGCTCTGCAGAGCCTACTCAGCTTTCATTAAAGGTATTTATATTTGTA